GGGCAAATGACATGAAAAGATTTTACTGACATTTCAATGCTAATTACTCATCAACTATGGGTTTTCCAGAGTGTGATTTAGTGTTTGTGTGTTATTCTGAAAGTACTTGGTGGTTAAACCCCTTAAATTTCAATTCTGAGAAAAAAGTATATTTTGGTCAAAAAATTTTGTAAGGTAAAGACTTACATTTTTGGTGATTTTGGCAAAAATTAGATTTTTGCTGAAAATGCAGTATGGGTACTCCTGAGCTAGCTGATAATGACTATGTGGTCACGATTCGATTGCAGAGTAATTAGAGGGGCAAAATGACCCTTCAAATATTTTACTGACATTTTTTCAATGCTAATTACTCATCAACTATGGGTTTTCAAGGTGTGATGATTTAGTGTTTGTGTGTTATTCTGAAGAATTGTAATTGGTTAAAACCCTTAAATTTCAATTACAGAGAGAAAAAAGTATATTTTGGTCCAAAAATTTTGTAAGGTATAGACTTACATTTTGGTGATTTTGGCCAAAAATTAGATTTTGCTGAAAATCACAGTATGGGTACTCCTAGGCTTGCTGATTAACGACTATGTGGTCCACGATTCGATTTGCAGAGTAATTGGTGAGCCATGTTATAGAAATATTTTACTGACATTTTCAATGCTAATTACTCATCAACTATGGGTTTCCAGGTGTGATTTAGTGTTTGTGTGTTATTCTGAAAGTATGAGTGGGTTAAACCCTTAAATTTCAATTCTAGAGAAAAAAAGTATATTTTGGTCAAAATTTTTATGGAGTAAAAGACTTACATTTTTGGTGATTTTTGGCAAAATTAGGTTTTTTCAAAAATACAGTATAGATTGCTCTAGACACGCTGATTATGACTATGTGGTCACGATTCGATTTTTGGAAAATTAGTGGGCAAATGATATGAAATATTTTACTGACATTTTTGATATGCTAATTACTCGTAACTAACAGGTTTCCAAGGTGTGATTTAGTGTTTGTGTGTTATTCTGAAGAAATTACTTAATTGGTTATACCTTAAATTTCAGTTACAGGAAAAAAGTATATTTTGGTCCAAAATTTTGTATAGTAAAGACTTGCATTTTTGGTGATTTTTTATTTAAAATTAGATTTTACTTTAAAAATCACAGTACTGTATAAATTACTCCTGGGCTTGCTGATTGCGACTATACGATTCGATTGAAGAGAGTAATTAGTGTGCAAAATGATCCTTGAAGATTTTACTGAGCATTTTCAATGCTAATTACTCATCAACTATGGGTTTTCAAGGTGTAATTTAGTGTTTGTATTATTCTAGAAGTACTTAATTGGACGACATAAATTTCAATTCTGAAAAAAAAGCATATTTTGGTCAAAAATTTTGTAGGTAAAAGACATACATTTTTTGGTGATTTTTTGGCCAAAATTAGATTTTGCTGAAAAATCACAGAATGGGTACTCTTGGGCTTGCTGATTATACTATGTGGTCCACGATTCTGATTGCAGAGTAATTAGTGGGCAAAAGCGCATTGAAGATTTTACTGACATTTTTCAATGCTAATTACTCATCAACTATATGGGTTCAAGGTGATTTAGTGTTTGTGTGTTGTTAAAGTATGAGTGAGTTCCAAACCCCTTAAATTTCAATTCTGAAAAAAAGTATATTTGGTCAAAAATTTTTTGCTGTGAGTAAAGACTTTGTTTTGAATTTTTTGGCCAAAATTAGATTTGCTGAAAAATCACAATATGGTACTCCTGAGCTAGCTGATAATGACTATGTGGTCCAAGATTCGATTTCAGAGTGAATTAGGGCAAAATGACCCTTCAAATATTTTACTGACATTTTTCAATGCTAATTACTCATCAACTCTCAGGTTTCCAAGGTGTGATTTAGTGTTTGTGTGTTATTCTGAAAGTACTTGGTGGTTAACCCTTGAGAATTTCAGATTCTACCAGAGAAAAAAAAAGTATATTTTGGTAAAATTTTGTAAGGTAAAAGACTTACATTTTTGGTGATTTTTGGCCAAAAATTAGATTTTGCTGAAAATCACAGTATGGGTACTCCTGAGCTTGCTGATTATGACTATGTGGTCCACGATTCGATTGCAGAGTAATTAGTGGGCAAAATGACCCTTGAAAGATTTTACTGACATTTTTCAATGCTAATTACTCATCAACTATGGGTTTCCAAGGTGTGATTTAGTGTTTGTGTGTTATTCTGAAAGTACTTAATTGGTTAAACCCCTTAAATTTCAATTCTGAGAAAAAAGCATATTTTGGTCAAAAATTTTGTAAGGTAAAAGACTTACATTTTTGGTGATTTTTGGCCAAAAATTAGATTTTGCTGAAAATCAAAGAATGGGTACTCCTGGGCTTGCTGATTATCACTATGTGGTCCACGATTCGATTGCATAGTAATTAGTGGGCAAAATGACACTTGAAAGATTTTACTGACATTTTTCAATGCTAATTATTCATCAATTATGGGTTTCCAAGGTGTGATTTAGGGTTTGTGTGTTATTCTGAAAGTACTTAATTACTTAGACCCGTTAAATTTCAATTCTGAGAAAAAAGTATATTTTGTTCAACAATTTTGTAAGGTAAAAGACTTACGTTTTTGGTGATTTTTGGCCAAAAATTAGATTTTGCTGAAAATCACAGTATGGGTACTCCTGAGCTAGCTGATAATGACTATGTGGTCCACGATTCGATTGCAGAGTAATTAGAGGGCAAAATGACACTTGAAAGATTTTACTGACATTTTTCAATGCTAATTACTCATCAACTATGGGTTCCAAGGTGTGATTTAGTGTTTGTGTGTTATTCTGAAAGTACTTAATTGGTTAAACCCCTTAAATTTCAATTCTAAGAAAAAAGCATATTTTGGTCAAAAATTTTGTAAGGTAAAAGACTTACGTTTTTGGTGATTTTTGGCCAAAAATTAGATTTTGCTGAAAATCACAGTATGGGTACTCCTGAGCTTGCTGATTATGACTATGTGGTCCACGATTCGATTGCAGAGTAATTAGAGGGCAAAATGACCCTTGAAATATTTTACTGACATTTTCCAATGCTAATTACTCATCAACTATGGGTTTCCAAGGTGTGATTTAGTGTTTGTGTGTTATTCTGAAAGTACTTAATTGGTTAAACCCCTTAAATTTCAATTCTGAGAAAAAAGTATATTTTGGTCAAAAATTTTGTAAGGTAAAAGACTTACATTTTTGGTGATTTTTGGCCAAAAATTAGATTTTGCTGAAAATCACAGAATGGGTACTCCTGGGCTTGCTGATTATGACTATGTGGTCCACGATTCGATTGCAGAGTAATTAGTGGGCAAAATGACCCTTGAAATATTTTACTGACATTTTCCAATGCTAATTACTCATCAACTATGGGTTTCCAAGGTGTGATTTAGTGTTTGTGTGTTATTCTGAAAGTACTTAATTGGTTAAACCCCTTAAATTTCAATTCTGAGAAAAAAGTATATTTTGGTCAAAAATTTTGTAAGGTAAAAGACTTACGTTTTTGGTGATTTTTGGCCAAAAATTAGATTTTGCTGAAAATCACAGTATGGGTACTCCTTAGCTTGCTGATTATGACTATGTTGTATGTGGTATGGTGGTGGGGCTGTGGTGGTGGTAGTGGGTGTGGTGGTGGTGGTGGTGGGTGTGATGGTGGTGGGTGTGGATATGGTAGGTGTGGTGATGGTGGGTGTGGTGATGGGGGTGTGGTGATGGGGGTGTGGTGATGGGGTGTGGTGATGGGGTGTGGTGATGGGGTGTAGTGCAGTTGGGTTGTGGTGGTTGTAGGTGTGGTGGTGGTGGGTGTGGTGGTGATGGGGATGGTTGTGGGTGTGGTGATGGGTGTGGTGATGGGGTGTGGTGATGGGGTGTGGTGATGGGGTGTGGTGATGGGGTGTGGTGATTGGGTTGTGGTGGTTGTGGGTGTGGTGGTGGTGGGTGTGTGGTGGTGATGGGGATGGTTGTGGGTGTGGTGATCGGGGTGTGGTGGTGATCAGGGGTGTGGTGGTGGGGTGTTGGAGTGCCTTAGTGGTGGTGGGTGTAGTGGTGGGGTGTGGAGGTGTAGTGGTGTGGGGGTGTGGTGGTGTGGGGGTGTGGTGGTGGTGGGTGTGGTGGTGGTGGGTGTGGTGGTGGTGGGTGTGGTGGTGGTGGTGCAGGTGTGGTGGTGGTGGGTGTGGTGGTGGGGTGTCGTGGTGGGGTGTGTGGTGGTGGTGGGTGTGTGGTGGTGGTGGGTGTGGTGGTGGTGGGTGTGGTGGTGGTGCGTTGTGGTGGTGGTGGGTGTGGTGGTGGTGGGTGTGGTGGTGGGGTGTAGTGGTGGGGGGTGTGTGGTGGTAGGGGTGTGGTGGTGGCGGTGTGGTGGTGGCGGTGTGGTGGTGGGGGTGATAGTGGTGGGGGTGTGGTGGTGGGGGTGTGTGGTGAGGTGGGGGTGGTGGGGTGTGGGGGGGTGTGGTGGTGGGGGGTGGGGGTGTGGTGGTGGGGGGTGGGGGTGTAGTGGTGGGGGGTGGATTTATAACCTCTCTTCCCAGTGATACACACGAGGGCCGCTCGGACAGACAAACACGACACAGTTAGCCCTAAACACGTGTGAGGCGAGGCATAACAGGTGGGGGTGTAGTGGTGGGGGGTGGATTTATAACCTCTCTTCCCAGTGATACACACGAGGGCCGCTCGGACAGACAAACACGACACAGTTAGCCCTAAACACGTGTGAGGCGAGGCATAACACACACAGAGACTATACAGTACATATTCAAGGTAGATGTGAGAAGTCAGACTACGCCAGGCTAACGTGCGCCCGCCCTCTGCCTGCACTGACGGAGTGAAGGATAATATAAACATACTGGGGTTTTGAGATATTGAAGTGAGGAGTGTGTGTGTGCGCCCCCATCTGCCTCCACTGGCGTTATCCTGGATTGAGAATTAAAGAAAAAAAAAGTCAAGCACTTTTAGGTTTAGGTGTGCATTCATTCTCTCTCTCTCTCTTACCTTAACGAGGTCGTCCTGGGTGTTAAAGTCCTTGTTACACTCCCTCCAGTGGCAGTGAGTCTCGATGAAATCCGGAGGCTCTTCCTTGAGTCCGTCGTCGTCCCTGGCCGAGGCACTCACAGCCCCACACGCCCCGGAGGTGGTACTCGACGCTTCCTTCTTCACCTTGGAGGAGTTCTTGTCCTCCTCCATCGTGCTGGATATCGTCGGCGAGGCCTTCTTCTCCGCCTACAGGAGCAGAGGAACATAGTGTTTAAAAAATCTCCAGCATTCGTAAAATCCCACAGAAAAATTCGCTACAGTGATTTCAAAACTTTCTTCCCGTTTATGTAAGTCGTAACAAACTTTCAAAACAATTTCCATTACATTCTGTCAACAAATTTCAATACACACACACACACACACTTGTTTCTCACTTCTATTATCTCTCTCAGTCTCTATCACTGTAATATTTACTTTCTCTCCGACTGTCTCTCACGTACTCTCCCTATCTCTCTCACTACCTATCTCATTTATCCATCTTTCCTGCCTTTCTCACAGGACCATCACGTCTTACTCACCTCAATCTTGGGCGGTAACGTGGGTAAAGTTGGCTGTGAGGAGAGGGAGAAGAGACTGTGATGTGTGGTGAGGGAAGGACTGTGTTGAAGGAGAGGACTCGGAGCCAGGAACGGCGACCCAGGTAACGACGCCCCTCTCATTAGGTGTGCCTGTAGCTGCTGCAGGTGAGTCGCCGCCCCGACCCCAGGGTGCATCCCCAGCGCCGGCGAGATGGCTCCTGTGGGTGGAAAGAGAGAGAGAGAGAGAGAGAGATTGGAGATGTGAAATAGCTCCTGCAAGTGAAAAATATAAATTGCTGGGGATGGATTTTGACAACACCAGCGTGAACAGAGGCAGAGAGACACGAGGGCGGGGGGGGGGGTTATAATATAATACCAGAGTTAATAAACAGGACTGCCAGGACAGGTGAACAAGCGCCAGAACACCTGGTATGTGCTGTAAGTCCATAAGATAAAGGCACAGAACTGATTGAATTAAGCTAAACTACAAACTTCGAGAGATTAAAACGGCGTCAATATTGCGCTGAGCCTACTGTAACTAAATACGTTCTCTGGCGCCTGTTAGAAGGATAGCTAAGGACAGTACCTACCCACACTAATGACACCTGAGACTCACCTGCGGAAAGGTGTCCGTAGGAGCCACTGGCGGAGGAGGACCTGGAGCCGTTCATGATGGAGACGAGAGAGTTGGGGCTGAAGCGGATCATTGAGTTGATATCGAAGGAGTCGCTGTAGGGGGAGGAACTCAACGCCCGCTTGCGGCTCTGGCGTAGACTGGGCCGCGGCGACGGTAACCGGGAACCTGCAGAGAATGTGAAGGAGTGATGATGATAATAATAATTATAATAATAATAATAATAATAATAATAATAATAATAATAATAATAATATGACACCTGATAAAGTACTTCACAAAAAAGAAATAAAGTTAATACAATAAGAATGCCTATCAGAGTACTGTATACACACACACACACACACACACACACACACACACACACACACCAATACGACAGAGAACGTTACGCCAGACATCTCATCAAAGGAATCCCGTTTGTCTACGTTTTACCAGACAGATGTTATTATGAAATGACGTTACTTATAACTTTCCATACGTCGTTTTGGTAATTAGGACAATGATAAAATTATCAATACTTCGACTATATACAGATCCTGATTTAGCATTATCATAAACGACCTTTACTGAGATTGTAAGCAAACCTAATTTACGGTCAGGAATAAGTCGTCTACTTTTACTAAATCATTTATGACTGAACAAAGATACGTCTTATACTTGTGTCATCTTTATCTTTCATATTCGGAGATAATTTGTTTATATTCGTGTTTACATTCGTTTTTATAGCCACATGAAGTAGTGGTATTCAACACACACACACACACACACACACACACACACACACACACACACACACACACACACACACACACACACACACACACACACACCTTTGTATCAATAGTATCCAAGAAAGTAACGTTGGAGAATGACCAAAAGGAAAGTGCCCATCACAAAGACTATCACAGGGTAAGTACACACTATTTAAGGTACTGTCGTAGAGGAGGTGTAAGGGAGGGAGAGAGGGAAGGAGGTATCTGGGAGGTGGGCAGTGTCAGTAGTATGCAGGACAGTGACAGCGGGAGACATTGGTGTGAAAAATGACACGAGGAATATGCAAGAGCCATCAGTGAGCCATATATAAGGCTTAATCCTCTCTCTCTCTCTCTCTCTCTCTCTCTCTCTCTCTCTCTCTGTAACTTGGTTGGATCAATCTTATAGTGTCGGGGAGGAATGAGAATTGAAAAAAGAAGAGAGAAGGGATGATGGGGAGGGAAAAGGGAGGGGGTGTTGGGGGTACGGGGGGATGAGAGGAAGGGTGTAGGAGGAAGGTCTGAAAGAGGGGAAGGAAATGAGGGAAAGAGGTGGTAGTAGTAGTAATAGTAGTAGTAGTAGTAGTAGTAGTAGTAGTAGTAGTAGTAGTAGTAGTAGTAGTAGTAGTAGTAGTAGTAGTAGTAGTAGTAGTAGTAGGAGGAGGAGAGGAAGTGTAACCACAATCGACAACCACCATCACCACAATAGCCGCCACCACGACAACCGCCACCATCACCACCACAATCGGCATCACCAAACAGAACCACTACAACAACCCAATCACCAACATTACTACAACCACCAGCCCTACACCAAGAGGATAAGTAGACATGATAGGGAGGTGGGTAAGTGGCAGTAAGTAGGTACGTATTATTATGTAGATACGTAAATAGGTAGGTAGGTAGGTAGGTAGGTAGGTAGGTAGGTAGGTAGGTAGGGAGGGAGGTAAGTAGGCAAGCAGGTAGGTAGGTAAGTAGGCAAGCAGGTAGGTAGGTAAGTAGGCAAGCAGGTAGGTAGGTAGGTGAGCGTCGTCAAGTAATAAGGATGATGGTGAGTGGTTGATGGTCGGGCGAGCGGCAGCCTATCACAGCTGGCCACGCACTCCATCCATCACTCCGCCATGACCAGAATACGCCACCAAGCCTAACCTCCATTATATCCATCCTCATCCTCCTTCCCTATAACTATTCCATGATATCATCCAACGCTGATGAATGATAAGGATGTCGGATGGTAATGTGTCGGGAGATGTGTGCGAGGTAAGCGATGGGCGGTGTGATAAAAGGCATGTTGTTTGTTGTAAAGGGGAGGAGGAGGAGGAGTAGCGAGGTGGGGGGAATATTACTTTTAACCGTGGCTGATAATGAAGACATTGGACGCTGTGGGGGAAGCTTGTTTTGTATCCCCTGCAATCAAACGCTAGTCTCACCAAACACACTTACCCGGGCACCTCTCTCTCTCCCTCCTTCTTCTTCTTCCTCCTCCTCCAGGGCGACTGACCACACCACGCGTTCATGACCTATCGCGGTATTAGATTGTCTCCTGCAGAAATAGTTAGTGAGCAATTCTCCTCTTCCTGCGGCGGGTAATTCTGAGGTTCTTAAAACACTGGCTGCTTCTTGTGTTGTGATGATCAGTTGTTTTATTTAGAATGTGCACGAAATATTGTAGAGGAAGGAAGGAAGGAAGGAAGGAAGGTCTACTTTTTCGCTGTTGACTGGAGTGCAATATGTGGGTACAGAAACCTCAAGAAAGTGAATGAGGCAAGCCGAATGCACGCGCGCGCACACACACACACACACACACACACACACACACACACACACACACACACACACACACACACACACACTTTATATACAGAAAAGTGCATCCTCCTCTTCCTCCTTATTACCGTAAAGTGGAACTCTCAACACACTTCCACATACAAAGTCGCAAGGAAAAACAAACAAGAACGTTTAGTTTAGGACATGAACAACGTTTTCATTGGCAAAACACTTAAAAAAACGTTCGTAAAATATTAATTCGTCATAGTTGAAGTTAAAAGAACGTAAGGAATATATTTGGCTTGATATTAAATAAATGAATCTAGTTAGGTCGCAGTTATCGGTGTGTGTGCTTTACCTCCTCTAGTCATTCAGTAAGTTACATTCTTATATCGTCAGGTAGGAGGAATATTACACCGTCAGAATGTTGAAGAATGTGAACCCAAATCGTTTTTATGTGGTGAAGTGGGAACACATTTTATGCACTGTTGCGTTTCAGTTTGAGTGTCTGGCCACACAACCCATCATGATACAAGACGCTACAGGGCCACGCGTAGACTGTATCATTAAGGCTACAGCGATCATTGTTCCTACATACTTAAATGATCAGTCACGAGGCTACAAAACGCTTGCTCAGACACACACACACGCGAGGACGTCCCCATGCAGCAAGACCGCGTTGAGATAATAACTTATCCACGCTATAATACTCCTCTACGCAGCAGTTATCACCCCCTCGGTAATATATCTCCACGCTAGAGTTTACAGCGGGCCACCTCTAACGATGCTTAAATGGGGAACAATTCTTTGATCAGCGGAGCGTAACATTTCCAATCATGGAGAATGGTGATAGCGCCAAGTTGCTTATTACCGCTCAGATCACAGTCATTGTCTCCATTACTGTCAAAAATGTCTGTGTAGATGTGGGTCCTATACTTTACTCTGACAAATTTCCATGTCTCTTAACTTTGGAGTGTTTTTTTTACTACCTTCTTTTTTATTGAAAGGTTATGCCAGCGACTGTCAGTAAGACTTAAAATTCGTTCATCAGCTGCATGGACTGGAGAGGTCAAAGTATTGTGTTCGTTTCAATCGTATAATGAGACTGTAACCTCGACGCTTGGGATACGATTCGATCCCCCGCCCCCCCAAAAAATATGAACCTCCAAACCCCAGATAAACGATCATAGACTAACCCACAGATGTCTATATCAAACAAATGTAACACCAATGACTGTGTTTATAAGTTACGTACAAGATAGTGGTGTGGAGGGCAGCTGTCAGATGAAGCCACGCGGAGGGCGGGCGGGCGGGCGGGCAACTTTGGCTTAAAGAATTAGCAAGAAGATCTCACCTGCGGCGCCTTCTGAGGTTAGATGGTGTGTCTCTCTCTCCGGACGACCACAATTACTGTTATTTACCTCCATTACTGTCAATACCCTGATGTGACGCTGCATGCAACCTGGCCAAGTGAGCGTGTGTGTGTGTGTGTGTGTACCTTTCTAGTCTATAAACCCTCTGCGACTACGGCGGGAAAAGGGTACATCAGCGTGAGTCCTGTGTTGCGTCTGTCCTCCTGATCCCGACGGTGTGGAGAGAGAGAGAGAGAGAGAGAGAGAGAGAGAGAGAGAGAGAGAGAGAGAGAGAGAGAGAGAGAGAGAGAGAGAGAGAGAGAGAGAGAGAGAGAGAGAGAGAGAGAGCTACAACACACGCTCAAATTATTATTAGTTTCCTGTTGTTTTTTGTTCACATCCAGACACCTCAGGTATTTTTGTATGTATTCTCTATTATGTATCTTTTTTATGTATTGTGTATTTTGTGTGTATCAATATGTATTTTTAGGTATCATGACTATTATTTTATATAGTGTGTATTTCTATGTATTATGCATCTTTATGTATTACGTATCTTAATGTATTTATGTATGTTATGGTGTGTGTGTGTATGTGTGGTAGTATGATGACAGAAGCCCAGTACCACACACACACACACACACACAAGACAAACTCCTAACACACTACCACCCATCTCTCTTGTAGCCCACCCATCTCTCTTGTAGCCCACCCATCTCTCTTGTAGCCCACCCATCTCTCTTGTAGCCCACCCATCTCTCTTGTAGCCCACCCATCTCTCTTGTAGCCCACCCATCCCTCTTGTAGCCCACCCATCCCTCTTGTAGCCCACCCATCCCTCTTGTAGCCCACCCATCCCTCTTGTAGCCCACCCACCACCGCCCATGTAGCCCACCCTAGCCACACATGCACGGGACACAATAAACACGGCCGCGCCTCCACCAATCACAACCCACGCTGAAATTCGAGAGTTCCCAGAGGACCAGCCTTCGTCTAGCTCACAGCAGCGCCCTTCACGGCTTACGTGGGGCGCCCTCACGCTCTGTCCGGGGCCCAGTATGTGGTATCTTCATGCTCTGTCCGGGGCCCAGCATGTGGTGCCCTCATGCTCTGTCCGGGGCCCATTGAAAGTTCTCCTACGTTCTGTCTGGGGCCCTGTGTGAAGTATCCTTACGCTTTATCCGGGCCCAGTAAATGGGCTCTTATGCTCTGTCCAGGGCCCAATGAATGAGTTCTTAAGCTCTGTCCGGGGCCCAATAATGAGCTTATCTAGGCTCTTCGCGGTTCCAAGTAA